TTGGAATAAGGCTGTAACATGACAAAAAGTGAAGCGCTGTGAATACTTTCCAGGTGCACTGCACACTGTACAGACCCACAGCAGGAAATTCTGGAGATCTGTTTTAAAAGCATCTGAAGTACGGTGATGGAAATGCAGGGGAGTGCGACCTGTTTCTGTTACAAAATATTGTTTTTCCTTGAGGACACTTGGCAGCCTGTGTGTACAACTGATTATCAATGATAAAATATACAACCGCCTTCCTCAGTGTACCCGTACTGAGATTAACCACAGAAGACAACTCAGACAATTATACAATAAATAAAAGGTCTATGGACACCACGGAGGGTACAACAAGAATTATTAAGCTACAGAAATGACATAGGGCAAGACATGACATAAGGGGTGGAGCTCTTGCATGCAGAACTGCAGTGGGTGATTGCGGGAATCAGGGCAGGACCATCCACAGGCACCGCAACTGCAAAGACCGGTGAGCTGGGAATGGCTTCAACAAAACGTAATCTTCTCTTCTCTCTCTCTTATCTACTTGTGCCAACTCTAGTCATCAAACTGAGCCTCATTCTCCACTCTTAACCACTACCCTATCCAGCAGCTGCTTTGTACACCAAACTAATGTACAGACCAGTCACTCTTCATCACATATTGTATACTGGCTGTTTTGAAAGTGTCTAATGAATAAATGTAAATGGTGTTGGAGAGCAAAGATGAGTCAGTGCCTTCCTGTCCCAAGCCCAACTGAGCTGTTATTTTTCAAAGCACCTACAGAGACTCAAAATAAAGTATGCACGCATACACACAAACATGCACACACAGAGAGAAACACATAGGTCTTTACCGGCTGGTTGGGATTCCAGGGGCCAATGTGCTGGGGGTCATACCATGCAGGCTTGTTGGACGGGATGTCTGAGGGTCCACTGGGGTTGCTGGGGTCCTGTGGTCTGGATGTAGCTCCATCAAAATCCCCTGTAGGAGGACCCGACATGGGAGGCTTAACATCCCCTACACACAACACACACACCGTCACATTACAGCACAAAGATACATGTACTTGCCCAACATAGAGCAGGTCATAAACCGATACAGCAGAAATTAACAAGACAAGATGAAAATGTCCCCAGAACTACAACTGATAATGTATGCAACTGTTCTAATGTTTTTCATGTTTTAAACTGAACAAAATGACTATTAAGACTGTGCCTTTTGTTCTCACCAGCTTGTGTGGTCATAGGTGGAGCCTTTTCAGGCTCAGCAGGTGTAGCTATCTGTGCTACAGGGGCAGGCTGCTGCGGCTGCTGCTGTTTGACGCTGGTAACAAACTCTTCGTGCTGGATCTTTAAAGCCTGGATCTGCTGCTGGAAGGCCAGCTGGATGGGCTGCACCACCGCCGCATACTCTGTTATCAGAGAGGCCTGAGAGAGAGGACAAGGGTGTTAAATCTGATCTGACTAAGGTCTTTATTTTCCTGAAATTATTATTATTATGGGTAGTCAGTATTCAGTAATGACCAATCACACAAGCTCCTCTCATCCCCTTTAAAAGTACCAGCAGAAACAGAGAGAGAGGCTGTGAGAGATAAAGAGGTTATCGTCATGGAGCACCAAACAGTAAAATGAAAAATATATACTACATCACATACATCGCCCCAAATATGCTGTCAATAATTGCATATTGGTGTTTGCAGCTGCTGGAATATCTACGTGGCTTGTTATACTTGTGAAAACAACCAATATAGACTAATTAATACATAAAACTGCATTTTTCTCCTCTGCATATTTGAAAAATTCACTTAGGTCTTTAAAGTCCAAGAAACATAAAAGGGGTGTCCAAAGGGGGGGAAAAAAACAATAAAACTGTACGATTATGGAGAGGTGAGTGTGATCCTCTGCCATGGAGATGGTTCTAAGCAGAAGGACTCCCAAGAGAACATAATCCAATGAAAACATAGAGAGTATTTCCGCCTCCACAATCTGCACTAACAGTGTGTTTTTATTGACTTTTATACTTTATTACCGCCTGTGCGCCCTGTGATTGTCCTGCACCCCTCACTGAAAATGTGAAAAAAAAGTTTTGGATGAATTCTCACATCTTTGCAGCCGGTATATCCAATTTATTTATATAGTTATTATTAAAGTCCCAATGCCTTTATTATTTAGAAACGTGACAAATAATTTGATATCAAATTGGTTTAATTACATTTACACTGATTCCTCCTAAAGTGTTTCTCTCATCTCCACTGGCCACAGTGGCCAATCAGCTACTACGGGGGCCAAGGTGTGTCACATTAGTTTAACATGTAGGAGGAATAGCAACATGTTCCTTCCAAATCCTACAAATCAAATATTAGGAGACACTTCAGATTTTTCAAGAGAGACAAGATGCATGCAATTTATAAAATATTAGGGCTGCACGATTTGAAGAAAGTCATATTGCGATGCGAAGAAGCAAATGGCAGGCTACTATGAGTCTGCTTGCTTAATTATCAAGGAATGCACGAAATACTGACATTTTGAATCAGAATCAAAAGGAGCTTTATTGCCAAGTAGTGATTTACACATACAAGGATTTTGCTTTGGTGTTAAGGTGCTACACGTAGACAGACATACAGCTGACATAAATAGATGTAGAAATATATAAATATGTAATAAACAAATGGAAGTTATATAAGAATAACAGAAGAATAGAGAGAAAATAATACAACTGACAATATAAAAAAATAAAAATAATAAAATAAAAACAATGGAACAACAACAATTTACAATTAACAACAAATTAACAACAAATATGTGCAATGTGCCAGGTTCGTGCATGACATGACATGACATGAAGTGATATTTTGCAGACGACTGTATTATTTTAAAGGGGTGAGTGTCAGTTGGGGGCCCGGGCCTTGTTAATGAGGCTAGTTGCAGATGGGAAGAAGCTGTTTTTGTGGTGAGAGGTTTTGGTCCTGATGGACCGCAGCCTCCTGCCAGAGGGGAGAGTCTGAAACAGTTTGTTCCACGACCATCTCCACTGTCTTCAGAGCGTTGAGCTCCAGACTGTTCTGGCTGCACCAGGACACCAGATGGTCGATCTTCCACCTGTAGGCGGATTCATCATTGAGATGAGCCCAGTGAGGGTGGTGTCATCCGCAAACTTCAGGAGCTTGACAGACTGGTGTCTGGAGTACAGCTGTTGGTGTACAGAGAGAAGAGAAGGGGGGAAAGAATGCAGCACCGAGGGGAACCAGTGCTGATGGTCCTGGAATCAGAAACACGTTTTCCCATCTTGACGTGTTTGCTTCCTGTCCGTCTGTGATCCACCTGCAGGTGGAGTCAGGCACGCTCAGCTGGGACAGCTTGTCCTGCAGCAGGGCCGGGATGATGGTGTTGAAAGCAGAGCTAAAATCCACAAACAGGATCCTGGCGTAGGTTCCTCGGGAGTCCAGGTGCTGGAGGATGTAGTGAAGGGCCATGTTCACTGCATCATCTACAGACCTGTTGGCTCTGTAGGCGAACTGCCGGGGGTCCAGGAGTGGGTCTGTGATGGATTTTAGGTGGGACAACACAAGGCGCTCAAAAGACTTCCTTACCACAGAGGTCAGGACGACAGGTCTGTAGTCATTTAGTCCCGTGGTCCTTGGTTTCTTGGGGACAGGGATGATGGTGGAGGCTTTGAAGCAGGCTAGCACATGGCATGTCTCCAGTGAGGTGTTAAAAATGTCTGAACACCGGAGACAGCTGATCAGTACAGTGCTTCAGGGTGGATGGGGAGACAGAGTCCGGCCCAGCTGCTTTGCGAGGTTTCTGTCTCCTGAACAGTCTGTTGACATCCCTCTCTTGGATGGTAAGAGAGGGGGAGGAGGTGGGGGATGAGATGAAGGACTGTGGCCGGTCAGTGGTGTGACGGGGGATGGTGTCAGATCTGTCCCATTGTCTTTAAAAACAACAGTAAATCTGGTTCAGCTCGTTGGCAAGGTGCGAGTCGTTCATGGAGTGGGGGGTTTTAGGTTTGTAGCTGGTGATCTGTCTGTAGCCTCTCCAGCCTCTCCTTGAGAACTGGTGTTGTAATCTCTGTTATTCTGACAAGAGACTGGTGTGGGGGATAATGACGGCATACTCTGAGCAGAGACTTCCAGTTTATAAAACCGGGCAAAGGTAATGGGCGACGACCAGCTCGCCACCGCACAAATCTCCTGGGTAGGGACCCCTTTAAACACGGCCCAGGATGCAGCAAGTCCACGAGTGAGCCCGTAGGCCTGACGGAGCCTGCAAACCCGACTCCCACAATCCAGTGGGAGAGCCGTTGCTTGGTAACGGGCTTGTCCATACAGGGGCTAGCCCAGGAGACAAAGTCCTTAGTCCTGTCCATGTAAATGCGCAGGGCACAAACTGGACACAGCCCATGCAACCGCTCCTCTACAGGGGCGGCGAAGAGAATGCCCAAAGGTCAATGGGTGAGCATGAGTCAATCACCTTGGGCACAAAGGGAGGGTTAGGCTTCATTGACACTCTGACACCCCCTGGAGCAAACTGAGTGCATGACGGATGCACCGAGAGCCGTTTCACAGACGCCAAAGCCAGCAACAACACGGTCTTAGATGTTTTGAGTCAACTTCCCCCAGTAGTTCAAAAGGGGGGACAGAGAGCCCATCCAAAACCACTGCAAGATCCCATGGTGTGGCCAATGGCCTGGAAACAGGGAATAACCAACATGCTCCTTCCATAAGACATCAGACCAAGGGTTGCTGGCTGGCTGTTTCGCCTCCAAACCCCACATGACAAGCAGCAACAGCAGCCAGGTACACTGTAATTGTGGAGAGTGCGGGGCTATGAGGATCAGTCTGCAGCGGTGCTCCCTCACCCTGGACAGAGTCAGGGGGTTATCAGAGCCACTGGAGGGAAGGCGTACAGGAGGACCGGGGGCCACACGTGCACAAGCGCGTCCACGCCGAGAGGCGCAACTAGATCATATTGAGAAAAACAGTGCACACCGCATATTGACTCTCGATGCAAACAGGTCAACCTCTGCCCGGCCATAATGTGACCACACTTGCCTCACAATGGCTGGATGCAGAGCCCAATTGCTATAGCGGTGCGCCACCTGGACAGCAGATCCACATCCAGGTTCAGGGAATATTTTGTCTGGATGCAGCCAGTGTTAACGGTGAAGCAGGCGCGGTGCCTACATGAACCGGGGGCTTCAACGGCCAAGCGGGCGTGTTCCAGCCCTTTTGAATGGTGTCTGCGTAAGTTATTTAAGGGTAGGTCGACCAACCAGTCACAGACACCGCGATCACCAGCCAATCAGGATTGGCGTACTGCGATAAATGCTTTTGAGGAATATGCAGGGAGGCGCATCCTATAGTGAGACATCGAAACGAATGCTATGAATGAGAACCTCAGAAATATTACACACTGGACCTTTAACTTCTTCTTATGGATTTTTAATTTTAATATCCAAGTTTCTTATTTGTGTTTCTTGGTGACTAGGATCACTTGTTTATTTTCTGCACAGCTACAGGGGGCCAAAAAGTACAAACAGGTGCCATTAATCCAGGTAACGAGTGGAGGACAGAGGAGCTTCTTAAAGAAGAAGTTACAGGTCTGTGAGAGCCAGAAATCTTGCTTGTTTGTGGGTGACCAAATACTTATTTTCCACCATAATTTACAAATAAATTCTTTAAAAATCCTACAATGTGATTTTCTGGATTTTTTTTTTCTCATTTTGTCTCTCATAGTTAAAGTGTACCTATGATGAAAATTACAGACCTCTCTCATCTTTCTAAGTAGCAGAACTTGCACAATCAGTGGCTGACTAAATACTTTATGGCCACACTGTATATGTATTTCCAAAATAAATACAGATTGAATTAATATTATTGGTAGGAATCTTCCTAAATCACATAAATAGATACATTTCAACACAAACACTTTGTTTGTTTGGTGCACATCACAAAAACAGACTAGTATATGAGGAAAACTGCATAAAAGTAGAGAAAAAATAGAGTGTTAAGTCTTATTCTACTCACCTGGTACTGGCCAAGGCCCAATGCTGGATTCTGGAGCTGTTGAATGGTCTCATCATCAAAGTATCCATTCTTCTCCCAAAGCTGCAACAACTGGGAGGTAAGGAAATGATCAGACACACATAATTTTCCACTTCAATAAATTAGAAGAAAAAGCAGAAAGTGCTGAAGAATCTTCATTTACATATGTGGTATATTTATAGTGGCTTGCAAAAGTATTCACTCCCCTTGAACTTTTCCACATTTTTTCACATTACAACCATAAACGTAAATGTATTTTATTGGGATTTCATGCTATAACAAACTTAGCATAACAGCAATTTTCAAGTCTTGCCACAGATTCTCAATGGATTTAGGTCTGGACTTTGACTGGGCCATTCTAAACACATGAATATGCTTTGATCTAAACCACTCCATTGTAGCTCTGGCTGTATGTTTAGGGTCAGTGTCCTGCTGGAAGGTGAACCTCTGACCAGCTTCCCTATCCCTGCTGAAGAAAAGTATCCCTACAGCATGATGCTGCCACCCCCATGTTTCACAGTGGGGATGGTGTGTTCAGGGGGATGTGCAGTGATAGTTTTCCGCCACACTTAGCGCCTTGTGTTTAGGCGAAAAACTTAAATTTTGGTGTCATCTGACCAGAGCACCTTTTTTTGTGTGTCCCGTTTTTGTGTCCCTGATCATGGCTTTTTGTAAACCACAAACAGGACTCTTTATGGATTCTTTTCAACAATGGCTTTCTTCTTACCACTCCTCTATAAAAGGTCAGATTTGTCGAGTGCATGACTAATAGTTGTCCTGTGGACAGATTGTGCCAGCTGAGCTGTGGATCTCTACAGCTCCTCCAGAGTGACCATGTGCCTCTTGGCTGCCTCTCTGATCAATGGTCTCCTTGTCCGGCCTGTAAGTTTAGGTGGTCAACCATATTTGGTAGGTTTGCAGTTGTGCCATGCTCCTTCCATTTTCGGATGATGGACTGAACAGTCTTCAGTTAGATGTTTCAAGCTTGGGATATTTTTTATAACCTAACCCTAAGGGTGCTCCGATCGATCAGTCACAGATCGGATCAGATTTGGTTAGACTGCAGGATTGTTTGCTGACAAATTGCATTTGGATAATGTGCTATTAAAAATAAGATACACTCAAATCAGTGTAACTAACATGATGTTAGTCATTATACTACATAACACCATTAACTGACTATAGAAGGCCCTTAAACTGAATTGACTGAACAGAAATGTTGACATAATTGATTAAATAATTATAATTATTCTGACTGAAAGGGGGTTTCCCACAATGTTTATGTTAATACTAAGAATAAAACACCTGTGTAATCTTTAAAAAAAGATGCCTGTTAGCAGCTTCAGTCCAAAAGCACATTGACCTGCTCCTACAGCAGGTACATGCTTTTAAAGTCAGCAGGTGTTTACCCTGGTAATCTTCTGCTGCTTCTCTTCCTCTACAGCCAGAAAGCTGGTGCAGTAGATGGGAACCACAACTTTTTGCAGAGCTGCCAACAAATCCTTCTGCTGCTTCCGCTGGCTGGAAGGACACATTAAGCACATCATGTTACAAAAGGCACATAGTAAAGGTTGTTTACTAAATATTTCCACAAAATCTCATTGGAATGCCCAATTAAGCTTCTTCAAGATTTGTTTCATAATCGACCCTTCCATAAGCCATGCCCCCCTGAGTTACTGTTGTTACTGTTACTAAGTCTGACAAACTGTCTGACTTTCATCATGGAGCTGCCACTGTCTATTACTGCACTCTCCGGAAAAATACTGTCAAATTTTTGGAAAAAGCAGTTTTTATACATTATTTGAAGATTGTATTCAGGCTGTCAAACTGACATGAAAAAATGAAGACGATAAAGGCTACCGATCACAGAGTAAAAGTAAACCACAGCATCACCTGACGATTGAGATATAAGACAACTAATATTAAGGATCAACACTGTTCCAGTACAGCTGGGTAGGCCTCCGTTCAGTATTAGAATCATTAAAAAGCAGAACAGTAGTAGCTCGCGTTAGCTAACTACCAAATGTAACGTAATAAAGCCCCAGGCTGTGTCCGAAATCCCCACTCATTCATTACTCCCTATAGGGAGATGAATGTAGAGCACTATATAGTGAGCTCACTCGCATTATGAAAACTACTCAACACTACTCCGACCGTTATTTCAGCGCTGTTAATTATGTCATTGCCGTCGGACAATCAGTTTTTTCTATCAGTGCAATGCATGATGGTATATACGGCTTGGTTAGTGACCATCAGTTGTACACTACTTTTGTGAGCGAGTAGTTGGTGATTTCGGACACAGCCCTACTGTTCGGCTTTTAACGTTAGTTAGCTAACGCTAGCTAACTAACGTTAACATTAGGAATAATCCACAGCCAACATTTTTCTGGAGATGTTTTAGGTTTTGGAAAGAGAATAAATAGTACTACTCTCTGGGTAGCGACTAACTATTACAAGTGCCCCAGGAACAGCGTTTTTACAAAAAAAACCCCAGAAAATAAAAAAAAGAGCTAGAAAACAACTCCTTTTGCATACAAGTCAATGGAGCGCAGTCATGAAAGTGTCGGACTTCAGTTAGAGCAAGTCCTACACTGCACTGTGATTGGCCAGCTGTGTATTTGGGGCCTGGGATAGCGAAGGGTCAATTGGACCAAGGCTACAACTAGTGGCTATTGGTCAGTGTCTCAATAGTTTTTTCAATTAATCAATTGATAAATTATTCTATTAAATGTCAAGAAATATCAAAATATTACTTTCCCAGCAGTCACCTTTAAATGTCAGTCCAGAGGTTATTAAGTTAAAAGTGATAAAAGAGAAAAACAGCAAATCCACAAATCGATTTTGCTTGATTTATATATGTACACTTTTAAAGAGGTGGTATTATGCTCATTTTCAGGTTCAAAATCTTATTTAGGGGTTGTGCCAGAACACTGGTTTGAAATGGTTTACATGGTTTAATTTTCAAAAAAAACACCATATTTTTGTCATACTGCACATTGCTGCAGCTCCTCTTTTCCCCCCTGGCTTTGTTTTAGCTATGGAGTGTCTCTAAATGATCTTTGTTGGGAGTTGCACATGCGCAGTTCCTAGTTAAGGACTACTAGCCAATCAGAAGCAGAGAAAGGCGGGTCAGCGAAAAGACGGTAAACAGCTTTGATTCAGCTGTAGGCTACATGTTGCCGACCAGGTTGCTAATTTGGACTGGAGCAAGAGTTTCAGAGTGGTGAGTTATTAATCTGTAACAAAAGTATCTTTCATCCATAAAGTTTTAACTGAGCTCTGTCTCTACATCACAGTAACAACTTTATGTCCACTGACTGCCTGGAGGGTAGCTAGTGTTTGGAAGCGCGAGGACGTGTGTGCTGCAGCTCAGTGTTTTTCCACTGTGTTTTTGAGGGTGTGTCGGACTAGTCGCTCAGCGACCATTATGACACGTATTTTCATTGTGACGTCACAAGAAAGGGAAGTAAAGGCTGGACTACAAACGAGCTGTTTTCAGGCAGTTCAGAACAGAGTTTTCCCTGGGAGATGGGAACTTCCTTTGGGCTGGACTTTGGGCTTTTTCACTTTGCAAACCTATTCCATGCACAAAAAAAGATATATAACTCAATAGGAGAAGGAAAAAGCCAAAAACCATAATACCACCTCTTTAAATCGATAATCAAAATTTTATCTCAAAATTGATTGATTACACAGATACATTGATATTAGACAAGACATTTTGTAATTGCTTACATGTTAAACTCATGCTTACAGTTTCATTGTACATGTATACATTTAATTTATACAGTCCATTTAGTGAAATCAAATATTAAACTTAATTAATTAGCAATGGGTGCCCAATAATAAGACACCTGTGCTTGTTCAATGTTTGATACAGACAGCAAGTGGTTTTATACTTGTATAGGTATGTGTTCTTGTAATCAGAGGTCATGGTAATGAAGGTGTAAATGGGGCTACATAGCACTGCATAGAAGACTAATTATATTATTATTCTGATGAAAAAAGTGTAGGAGTAAATTAATCCACGTGTATGTGTATGCAGTTTGGTTTACGTACCAGTGGTGGAGAACATCATTGGTTAAATAGATGAGATGCAGGCGAAGCTCAAAATGTGCTCCATCTGCAGTGATGCGGTTGCGAAGGTGTGATGTCATCAATTCACAGTGTGGTGGAGTCTTGGCGTTGTTAAACATCCAGTTTTTGCCAGCCTGAGAGGAAGACAGAAGAGAAAACAGAGAACACATGAGTGAGATATAAAGCTTATTCTTCAGTTATTTCAGTAATCTCTGTACAGAAGCATTCCTAAAAAAGTCCATTCTGGCAGCCTTACAGAGATGGCATCTTTGGTGCAGGTGTCTATGATGGGCTGCAGCAGGTTGTCAAACTCTGTGATGTCCAACTGAGTTTCCAGGAGCAGTTTTTGGGTCTGCTGCTCCATAGCCAGAGCTATGGCTGCAGTCACTTGTTCCTACATTGAGAAAGGCAGAGAAAGTTGACAAAGTTGCCTTGCAGTGAATTTCTGAATGGGCGAGAGGCTACTGGCTTTAACTGGAGAATGTCAGGTGTTTTTCTATGACTGCTTCTCTTTTCCAATCACAACAGTCAGATAGCCACACAAGTGTATAAATGTATTGCCTGGAAACACCAGCCACCATGCAGCGGTGTGTTTACAGCAACAGCTGATGGAGTTACACTAAATGCTGTTAGGGTAACCTAACTAAGGCTAATCCTAACCCTAATAACCGTTACTCCGACGCTCCGGGGACACGTGATGCTGCAGGCTCTTGTCGGCTGGAAATGTTTTCATAACCTTCAAAATTGTTGCTATTTTGTTTTTATGTTGCTTTCTCTGTGCTGAAGTTATTTTAAGAAGTTGATGGCTGATGAGCTAACAGGAAGGAAACAAAATCTCCTCTACTTTCTCTCCCTCTGTATGCAACCTCATCCCATTATTGCATGTTACTAACACAACTTCTCCCCTTTCTGGTAGTCTTGTGCTTTCTCGTCCCTCTCCTCTCTCCTCCTATCACTTCCTGCAGGTTTTCTGGCTCTGGAGCTGTGGAGTCTGGATCTGTGGCTGCGGGTCACCTGCTGCCCCCGTGTTCCTGCTCGACACCCTCTGCTACAACAACTATTGTTACTAGTCCTATTGTTATTATTGTTATTATAATCATTAACATTACGATTGTTATCATTAACACTACTATAAATATCTGTACCATTTTTCATTTAGTCTATAGCAACATCACCTTTACTGTCTGTACCTCTGTGTGTATATTGTGTAGGCTGCCTCCCTCCCCCCCCTATGTATTCACAGGCATTTATTTCCCCTGCAGGTACAACATTTGTGATCCATGTTTTGTTTGTTGAAATAGTCTTCTGTAGGGGTTTAAATTCATTAGGGTTTGGCCTTTGATCAAATGCTTTTCATGCTATTACAGTAATTGTGTGATCATAAACACGTTTAAGCTGTCTTGCCACTGCAAAACTCCCTTAGCTGACCTCTTTTCTGCCTGGTTACTTCAGAAAGAACATTGCTCGTTAGCAGCTAAAAGAAATCAACCACAAAAAAGTATAAATAAATCATCTGAGGAAAGAATGTCCTCTGTGCGCTAGAGTTATACTTTCTTTCTTGCTCCATACCTGTCTGAGTGTGTGCAGATGCTGCTCCTGCTGCTGCAGATTCCACTGGCTCTGTTGGATGAGCTCATCAATAGAGGGCGCAGAAGGCTGAGGAATCGGAGGTGGGGCAATCATTGGGATTGGTGGAGGAGGAATATCAACCACATCTTTGGTGCCCAGGTTGTACATTTCTGCAGAAACACCAGCAGGACAGCATTTAACATGAACATTTGAAGTCTTTAGGTTGGGCATATTACTGATACTGTATGACTACTGACAGGCTGCAGATGCCCAAAGTGAAAGCTGTATTACATATATCAAACACAAGGCACAAATTTCTTTACACAAAACTATTTCAATTAAAGTAACCTAAAGCTCAAATTACATGTAAAAGATTACATACATCAAGCTGTTGAAACGTTCCAGGAACAAAGCAGAAGAGTCAGCAAAATTTACAAAGACATGCAGTGCACATTAACACAACCACTACTGTCATTCCTAACCCACTGACTACTACAGGAGGAGCAGCTGAGGAAAGAAAACACGTTTGCTTCTCCAAAAATCATAAAGATCAGAAGCACCAAGGTTGGAAAACGCAGAAATATTGGTTACTCAACTACAGCCGGGCTACACAATGAGATGAAATCACATTTTGATATTTCCAAGAGGTGGAAATATTTTACAACCAATAAAAGAATTTTATGTTCATGGCTTGACATAACCCCTGGCCTACATATCCAGAGGTAAAACAAAAAATGCTTTATTATAATTAAACATATATAATTTTAACTAGGGAGGAGTTCATAAATAACGTAATAATACAAGTTGCCCTCAGTAAAACTCTGGCTCAACAAATTTGAACTGCGGATTTTAGGCCTCCAGTTTGATGGCGATGTGGCACGGCAGTAACGCGAGTTGATTACTGATGAGCTGTGTGGGGCCTAAAACTAGCTACCTAATACTGTATTGTAAGGTGAGCTTAAAATAGTTTATACTCTTGTATATACAGACACATCTGACCTCACTCAATATTTAAATATATCTCCTATAACATTTTACTGTCATCGGTATTGTATTTATACCTTGTGACCTGTACTGTAGTCTTCATTTCTCATGCAGTAACATACATTCCGTTTATGATATTTTTCAGAAATTATATCAGCATAACATTATAGGGACTGTGCACCCGTCCGTGTCCATCCTATCCAGGAGCTCTCCAGATAACAAAGAGGTTAGGCAGACTGTTCATCATCACGCTAGCCCAGCAGTTTCTGCTAGTGCACAGGAGAACATTCAGCACAAAGGAAAGGAATCATCACCCACTGCTGCCAGTGTATAGTTATGAAACTAGGCCTGTAGAGAAACCTTGATCAAGAAACAGAGATAATACTTTTATCAATATTCTATTAACAATACTGTTGTGCAGCCCTTACACTACAGCTGCCCTGAATCCTGAGAAGAAGCTTTCCAGAGACAAAGACATTAAAAACAAGCCCTGCTTAAAGACATGTCACCAGGATCCTCCTCATGTTTCTGTGAGCCAACCTGACAGCTTACAGCTTACACCGTCTGAGAAATCTTCAGTCAAGCCTCAAAACAGCATTACAGCACAAACTCCAAAAAAGGAAAAAAAAAAAAATACTTTCATGAAAAATGCAAATGAAAACAAACCAATAAGCACAGGTGTGATAATGTCCAGCAAAATGTGAAACAACAAAATGTGACTGCCAACTAGAATTTTGATTTGTCTGGAAAATTTGGTTCCAAATAAATACCTTCAGATTTATACTCCTCCCCATCGTGGGTAGAGGGATCTAAGTGGAGAAAAGCAAACTTTAATGCATTTCAGTGGTATGACAGAAGAACTCAATGCAACCCTGCATCCAAAACTGTGCTGTTATCATTCAAACTGACCAAACCTGTAGGTGCTGTAAGAAGCTCTGACTGTGCCTCCATAAGCAATAACAAAGCTCATTAAAAAGAATACATAACACTAAAATGAAAAACATATCTGTTCCTTTACCTCAAATCAGTTGCATCAGGGACTTACATGTACAGGGATTTACTCTCCCATTTAGCATTGGGTTTAATAGTCTTGTTCACAACGCTTTTATTAAAAGGTATTTTGTTTACTAGTCTTTCAGAGAGGTCAGTTCAGGTCGGCATAAATTACACGTGCAAGGCATTCTGTGTGCTGAACTGAAGTGGGTTGGAAACTATGCCCACATGGCTCATGGTTTTGGAGCACATCCAGTGTCTACCATCAGTGGTGATTACAATGAGCAATCAAAAGAAGTGTATTGATGGTAATTAAGAGGCTGATGCAAGCTGCATCCCAATTCAAGGGTCTCATACTTCGATATGCTGATGCTTCTAGTGTCTACACTTTCACAGGCCAAACACATGGTTGGGTTCAAAGATGTTGCACAGACTTCTTGAGTTTTTAATTTCAACTGATATTTTCTGCCATGGCAGTTTCAACAGACACTACTTGACACTAGTTGCCTAGATGTTTGCTTCTCACATACAGTAAGTCCTCATCAACAGACTTTTAAAAATTACATTCAACTCTGGCCTGCTTGTATATATCATGACAAGTACATACATATCTCATTTGATGCAGAGGATAAAGGATATGTGAAAAGCTGAAGAAAAATTCTGGCTTAATTAAAATTTGGGTCTTATTTTTGTACTCCTAGCCATCATTACTATCAGTTATGATAACACTGTACACAAACTGCTAGATTTCTCATCAAGGCAAAAGTGATAATTATTGGTAAGAATAATGGGCAAAAAAACTTAATAAGACCCAGTTTGTATAAAACCAGAATTACCCTTTAAGATGTGAACTGGGACAGACATTTTCAGCTACAGCTACTAGAAGGCCACAAAGGATGAGTTCATGTCAGTCAGGATATTTAATTGGGAACAGGGTTGTTGTTTAGGGCTGGGTATTGTGTTATGCAATACCTGAATTTGGTTAAAGAAGCATAAATACTTATGCTGTTTCTGAATTTGCTCCCTTCCATACTCACACTTGCTAATTTGAGGGCATAAGTGCGTCCACGTTGACAAGTATGGCAAAATGCAGTGCAAAAAGCAGCAGCAGCAGTTAAATGCTGCAATCGTCACTTCTAATAAGGGCACAACCATTGTGTTTGATTTGACACTACACTGCCGAATTTCATGCACTAAGCAAGTAAGTACATTGTGTACACAGTGTACTACATGTTAGTGAACTAACGGAAGTATCCGAATTGAGACACAGCTATATACTTAGAATACTTACTTGTGAGTACAGGGGTGCTTTCAGCTTTTTATAGCTATCTTAATCAATACAGCTGTACAAGAACGAGGGATGGGCAAAATGGATAAAATCCTTATCCTTATTATGATACATGTAAAAGTGTACATTATATAGAAACTTAGGTATGTCTGTTTTCATCTAATACACACATTTGATATTCCAGGTAAAAACAATTAAGTGCTTCATCAAATTGATCCAAAACACATTTTAAAATCTATTACTTCCATCAAGCAGTCCTGCTCATTACATTCAAGCGTGAGCGGTGCTAAACTACATACCAGATGCCTGCAGATAATGTATTTAAAACATATTCAGGTTCCATACCCAGCCCTGCTCGTTTCAAATTAAGAGTGAATTCCAAGTTCAACCCAGCACTAGTCAGCTTTATGTAGCTTTGCTGTGAAAAAAAACTAGAAGATGGAGCTCTTGGTTGTACTGTTATTCTACTGTAGAACACCGCTGATATGGCAGCAGACATTAACAGCTACCCTGCGCTATAAGTAAGCACAACGAAGCAGGAGAGCGAGGTGCTAATAAGGCAGGCTTAATGCCTACATACACAAAGGACAAATCCACTCTAAAACAGAAAAGCATTATTAGTATGATGTTGGAGAGTTCTATCAAGAGTTCCTCCCAAAACAACATTCTGTAAATGGGTGCAAAATGTCTTCTAATTATGTTATATATGCTTTAAATATGATTTTGATTAAACTGATTTAAATGTTTATCACTTTACTTTTTATTAAACTGTTCAAGTTTGCATTACATTTGAATTTATTTATCATTTTCATTAATTTCATTAAGGCTTCTATCATACTGGGAACTGAGCATTCCAACACCATACAAATATCTATGTGCAAAATGTGGTTTTATGTTGGACTGTCCCTTTAACTACATACGCTGCTGTTGCTCCGTAGCAAGCTTGGACTTGTAGTAGTTGAAGTATTCTCCCCCAAAGAGGAAAGAGAACTTAGGGTTGTCTTTCTGTTTCTCCATAGTCATCTTTTCAAACTCTGGCCCGTTCCGAGCGACAAACTGGGCCAGCTTGTCAATGACATTCCTCAGTTCTTGATCTGCACCAGGAAAGAGAAGCAGAGGGAAATCCAGTCAGAGCTGAGACAGCTAGTAATATCTCTAATGACAATCAAATAACAAACTAATTAAAGTGACCTGTGCTTTTTGACACTTTTAGAACATTTGTTCTTGTGTATTATCACTGTATTCCAGTATGCTCCAGGAGGTTGGAATTGTCTTAGAATATTCTGAAAATCTGACCTAACGTCCTGCTGACCACACACATAAGTTAATCAACGGTGTTTTTACACGCAGGTGGAGTGGCCTGATCAGGAGATCCAAATTCATAGTCTGCACTGGTAATATCCTACAGTCGGTGTTGTGTATGGACCTTTTCGGTATTTGCTAACTTACTTAACTAACGTTAGCTTTATTTCTGACTTATCGAGATTTTTATTTGATAACCATACTTTGAAACAAATAAGGTTAGGGAAAAGGAGCAAGTCGTAACGTGGCCAAAAAATAATTAACTTTAGCAGTGAAAGTTAACGTTAGCTAACTTATAAAACACAATGAAACATCAAATTGTTATCGGTTGAGGTCGCCCTACTATTCTAACACCACTGTGTGCACACTTAACCTGTTAGATACACGTTTAGCTGTGTTAGCCCAAATGCTAAACGCAGCGGGAATGTTAGCTGTGTTGTATCTCCATGTAGCATGGCTGCTAGCTATCGTTTAATGAAAACCATACAACCCTACAGCGTGCTGCTCACCCTCGGGGGGGTTGGGAATATCCATGTTTGGCTTTAGGTACAGCGAATCCACTGAACCTTAATAGATCATCCAGAGATCTGTCAGCTCCTTCTGTATTTCTCTAAATGCTTCATACAATTGACAAAAAACACTGCATTGCTCCTGTGACGTCCATCGGAAGCTGCCGCCCGGATCCCTATCTGCACATGCGCAAAAATGGTCCTGTCTTTCAAAGCAGGTACCACAAATGTGCCTGTTCATAATTCCTCGTTCGTTGTTGTCTGTCCTTATCACAGGTCAAATACTGCGCTTTCAGAAAGGCTGACAAAGCATTATTAGATTATAGTATTTTTTTACCCTCCTTTATTGAAAAAGTACAAAATATACAAACGAGTTAGGGAATGGGTGTACATCCAATAGAAAATGAAAACATTTACAGTGGTGGAAATGATATTATAGCACACTCGATAGACAAGTA